ACAGAGACTAAGTCACTGCATCCAAGGGAGAAAAAGCCACAAATCATCTGACGCCTCTAGTGTCCAAGGGAAAGTACTGAGCCAGTAGGCACAGGCCGTCCTTCAGAGAATGTCTGGCCACGGAGCTCAGTGCCTCCCAGGAACGATTCCGCAGTCTGCCTTTTTATGACTACACTGGTATTACAAAAATCCTCCCTGTAACTTCCATTCCCAAGCTGTAACCTACACGCACCTGTCAGAGTGTGGCTGCCCAAGGTGATTATTCTGCTGCAGAATGAATTTAAAAACTATTAAATCAGCAGCCTCAGTCGGCATCCATTTTGAAACAAAACGTTTTCCTGCGCCGATTCCCAAGGCATCTTGAAATGTTACCAATCAAAGACTTCATGCTCTTTTCTGTGCCTGTTAAGGGGATGTGCAAAAGTAAAGACGAGGGGGGCTGTGGAGACAATGCTTCTAATCCACAGCAGTAAACACCTGTTTTCTACACGTCGCGTGAGGAAGAAAGGCATCCACAAGGAGATCCACCACTGAATCTTCTATACCTGGGATTCTGGATAAAAAGAAAAATGATGGGGCATCTGGGTGGCTCACTGGGTTAGGCCTCTGCCTTCAGCTCCGGTCATGATCTCAGGGTCCTGGGATCAAGCCCTGCATTGGGCTCTCTGCTCAGCACAGGGCCTGCTTCCCCCTCTCTCTCTGCCTGCCTCTCTGCCTACTTGTGATCTCTCTGTGTCTAATAAATAAATAAAATCTTAAAAAAAAAAAAAATGACCCACCAACAGGAAATAGACTGGGCAGCAGGAGAAAGGAGTACTGAATAAAAACTCTGTGCTTTTGAGTTTTTCCAAAAGTTAAGATATGAATTTCCAAGGAAGTGAATATCAGTAGATGAACTAGAATTAGTAGATTAGTAGATTAACTAGGACTAAAAAAACAAAAACAAAAAAAAACCACCAACCAGGCAAAAGTTTAAGGCTATGAATATGTGATGTGAGTGTCAAGACGGTTTAGGAAGCTCTCAAGGAGATGGCTACTGCACTATTTCCTGGCCGTAGGTAAAATAATGTACCGGATAAAGAGTTGAAGAAAACTGATAAAGGACACATACAGAAAACTGACTGTGAAGTCAGTTCAGTGCTTGGGTACCACTAATTTATAAATTACAGTGGACTGGGTATTTGCAGGGCCCATCTGCTATGCTAGAATTAGATTCTGGATAAATTAATTTTAGGAGGGCACCTAGGTGGCTCAGTTGGTTAAGCACCTGCCTTTGGCTCAGGTCATGATCTCAGGGTTCTGGGATCGACTCCCACATTGGGCTCCCTGCTCAGCAGGGAGCCTGCTTCTCCGTCTGCCCCTCCCCCAAAGCTTCTGTGCACGCACCCTCTCTCACTCTGTCAAATAGATAAATAAATAAAATCTTTTTAAAAATTAATCTGAGGAATACTTTTTCATACATTGGCTAACTCCAGACAAAGAAACAAACATGAGGAAAACACGGCAGGGATGGCACACTGAAATCTGAGCGAAGAAGAGAGCAGGCGTTGCCGTGGAGGTGGGGTGAATACAGCAATGGGATAGGGCATCTGGACCCCCCCATTTTCGGCAGGGAGGGAGAACTCAACCAAAAATCAGGATTCCCAAAGCAAACAAATGTGGTGCTGGTTCTATAGCATCTTCCTGGCTCTGAGGACAAACCCACATATATTTCAATAAGACCTCAGGGGGCCCCTAGGTGGCTCAGTGGGTTAAAGCCTCTGCCTTTGGGCTCAGGTCATGATCCCAGGGTCCTGGGATCGAGCGCCATGTCGGGCTCTCTGCTCAGCAGGGAGCCTGCTTCCCTTCCTTTCTCTCTGGCTGCCTCTCTACCTACCTGTGATCTCTGTCTGTCAAATAAATAAATAAAATCTTAAAAAAAAAAAAATAAGACCTCAGGATTCTGACATAAAATTATCAAACAAGTATTAGCACATTATCAAAACTCACCATGGACACAAGGAAACAAGCCACAAACACAGATATACACCACCAAAGATTTCAGATATCAGCATTATCCAATACAGAATATGAAATAACTCTCTTTGGTGTTGCATACAGACATGAAAGATGGAGAGGGAAAAAATGAGCAAGCAAAAAAGAGACCATTAAATATATTCAGGTAGGGGCACCTGGGTGGCTAAGTCATTGGGCGCCTGCCTGTGGCTCGGGTCGTGATCCTAGGGGCCTGGGATCAATCTCCCTGCTCGGTGGGGAGTCTGGTTCTCCCTCCCCACTCCCTCTGCTTTTGTTCCCTCTCTCTCTCTCTCTCTCTGTCAAATAAATAAAATCTTAAAAATATATATATATATACATATATATACGTATATATATATATATATATTCAGGCAGACCTGAGGCAGAAATCGAGCTTCTCAAAATGAAGAATTAGGGGCACCTTGGTGGTTCAGTCAGCTAAGTGCCGGACTTCGGCTCAGGTCATGATCCCAAGATCCTGGGATGGAGCCCCATGTCAGGCTCTCCGCTCAGCGGGGAGTCTGCTGCTCCCTCTATTTGTGCTCCCTCTCAAATAAATAAATGAAATATTTGTTAAAATACTAAGAAGCATTTTCATTGAAATTAAACACTCAAAGGATGGGTTAAAAAAAAATTCAACACTACTGAAGAGAAAATTATTGAACTGGAAGCTAAATCTTAAGAAATTACCTAGAATCAAACAGAAGAAAAGGACAGGGAAGAAAATACCAATTACAAATTAAAAGACATGGAGAAGTAAAAAGAAGCTCTAACATCTGCTTATCAAAAGCAGAAGGAGCAAAGAGAGCGAGCAGGAGAGTGACAATGTTCAGAGCACCAATGGCTGGGAAATCCTGAGAGCCAATTAATGGCATGAATGTACAGATACATGACACATAACAAATACAAACACATAACAATACGGGACAAAACGCAAAAAGCCGCACACAGATCTCAAAATAAACCAAGTCATTTACCAAAGAATGACCAAAAAAAGACCTAACAGTGGATTTCCCAAAAGCAAGAATGAAAGCCACAGGACAACGAGTGGTATGTCCACCATGCCAGCAGGCAGCGATGGTCTGCTAAGAACCGAGACAGCAACACAAACACACGTTCTCATAAACCAACATCAAGAGAAACTACTGCCCGGTGATTCTGAGGGAAGACAATTCTGAAGGAGGCAGGTGAAAGGTACAGGACGGAAGAAGGGAAAAGACACAAGATATGGTGAACGTATGAAGTTCAACATACCATCTCTAAAGGGTGGCCATAGTCTGATGTGTCTGGCAAAACACGGAACTGGAATAGAGGAGGAAGGCATGAGAACAGAGACACTCCTCACTAGCTGTCCTACAAGTTTCGTACTGTTCTCAGAGGGGATGGTAAGACCTTAGGTATGGACTGAGTTCAAAACTGTGAAGCAGGCACAGTGTACTTTCACGGCAGTCACAGAAGAACAGAAACAGAATGCATTCCAAACCCATGGAGGAAAAAAAACACTGACTGAGAACACAAATCAAAAACTTCAGCAGTCAGTTAAAAAAAAAAAAAAGATTAGCAAAGAAAATGAACCAAACACATATAGTTAAGAGTGTATTAGACTATATTTCAAAAACCAAACCCCCCAACAAAAAAAGAAACAAAGAAAAGCACATTAGCCATATAATAAAAGACTGAAAGTTCTGTCTACATTAGAATCACAACTCTGTTCTCCAAAGAACACTTAAAAGAAACATGCTCAATCCCACCATTAATCAAGAAAATGCAAATTAAAACCAGAGTGGTATACTATCTTATAGCCATTAGACTGGCAACAAAATACCCAATTTGGGAAGGAAGTGGAGCAACAGATAAAAGGTGATGCATTTTTTTTTTTAAGATTTTATTCATTTCTTTTTGTGAGAAAGAGTGACGAGCAGGAGCCGGAGGGGGGAGGCAGAAGAAGAGGGAGAAGCAGACCGCCCGATGGGCAGAACCCTGGGAGCCTGATACAGGGCTCGATCCCAGGACCCTGAAATCATGACTCGAGCCCAAGGCAGACGCTAGACTGAGCCACCAGGTGCCTGTGATAGATTTTTACAAGAAGGATTTTATTAAACTAGAAAAAATAATTTACTACCATCACATGCAACAGGTGAGTCTGAACAACACAACTGAGTGCCCTGGGGAAGGCCACGCACAGTCGAGCACTCTTATCCAGCTGGAAAAGCAGCAACAGAAGCAATATCCCATCTGCGTGTGTACATAGAAATGGGAACCGTGTGCCAGGATGGAAAGCAGCCACCATCACGAAGAACGCAGTCCCACGCAGGGGATTTTCACTCTTGGTCAAGACTGTTTCTCAACACGAGCAACGGCGAGCTGACCTGGTTCTGGAGTAAACCCTTCGTGACACTGCAGGCTGGCATGCCCAGTGACACAGCCCCAGGCGGTCCCAGTGTGGAGCCACAGTCTTCCCGGAGAGAGAGCCTCCATCACAATCGATTCCACAGCCAAGGAAAAGTCCTGGCCCCAAATGGCTCCTGAACACCCTGGGCCCTGGAACCTTCCCTCATAATTTCTTCTACAAACAATTAAATTACTATGTGGAGTTTTCACTAAGGGTGAAAAATGGTGTAGACTCAAGCAGAGATTTTCCTGAATCCGGGTGGTTCTTTTTCCTGATAAATGTGCTTGTTAATTACGTGGCTTGAGAGCTCACGACGCCCTTCCCATCCTCTCCAGCGACTCTGGCAGAAGCTACCCCTTGGGCCCTTCATTTTCCACATGTCTGTACTCTGGCTGGTGTTGCCTTCCCAGTCCAATCCTGTCTCCTTCCCTCCCCAAACCAGACTTGGCCTTCCCTGGCTGATGTGGAGCAGGGGGGCCCCCTCCATGCATCAGGGCCTCACATACACTCTCAGAACAAAGCAGGAGTGACTCTGGAGAACTTCAGACCCATGACAGGTCTGCAAATGGATAAAAGGCAGAGTGTGACTTACGTGTTGTCTTTCGTACGCCCTCTGCTACGCTCCTACTTCACTGCCCTCGAAATTCAGAAGATCTATCGTTCTTCGGTCACTAGGGCTTTCCTGGAATAGTAAGGGCAGGAAATGAGAAAGGAGGCAACCGGAAGGAACCCCAGGGTCCACTGGGGAAAGAAACTCTCTTGCGCAATCATTCTTGACATTTAAAAGGGAAAAGGGCCACCAGAAGTAAGGAAAATCTCCACCATCCTCCGGTCTAAGCCATTTTTCATCCTTAACTAAAACTATTAATAGTAATTTAATGTTTTTAGAAGAAAAACTTTGAAATTTCTTCGTTATTTACAAAGACCTTTCACATGCTTTTTTTTTTTAATTTGAGCCATAAGATTTTTGAAATTTTTGAGTAGGAAAGTATTATTTTAAAGGCAGCAGCTGACATTCCCAAAGGTTAGAGAACTTTCCCACGACCGCTCCGCCAGCGACTATCAGAGAGGAAAAGAACCACGTCTGTGACTCTCGTTCCAACCTTATTCCACAACACTAAATCCTAACAGGATGGTTTCAGGCTGAGGAGCTGTACTATCATTGAATGTACTTCCTCACCCAACACATGGAGAAAGGGCTTTGCCTGTGGAGTGACAGAGCAACGGTCATAGGATTAAATGTTCATTAACCACCGACAACTCAGAAGGTAGAACACCCACACCACAATAGTTAAGAAATTCACAGATCTCGTCCACACACCCTCCTTTTCTCTTTAAGTCACAGTTATGTTTTTTTTTTTTAACATTTATCAATTATATTCTCACCAGAAAATGTCACCTTATTGTACTTGTGTCAATTGTTGCAGACTCTTTAAGAGGTTTTGGAAAGCCTTCTTCCTATAAAATGCAGATGATATTCCTGTGACTCCACAGCAAAATTACTTTATTAATCTAACCAGTCCTAAGTGACTCTGTTTCAGACTCAGTGCTAGATGACAGATGCCAAGTTATGAGAGGCCCACCCTTCAACGGATGGGGTGAGGGGGTAGTTCTGGCAAAGGTGAGGCTCCTCTTTCTTATAGTCTGGAAACACAGTTCCTGAGACAGGACCAAAGCACCAGCCGCCTTTTATTTCTTCAGGCTCTGCTCTTACTGTCTACACCACGCTGGCCCCCCAGGGTCTGGACCCCAGCCGGGAAGGTGCTCACACAGAGACCGGGGCCCATGGGGGTCCTCCCTCCTCTCAGGGACCGCAGTGCTGGCTGCCGCGGTCCAGTTTCCCCACAGGAGGGCAAGCCCGGCACCCATGGCTCGTCTTTCCCTCTTCCTGCTCTCAGCACTCAGTGATGCTTCCGGGACACGGGCTGAAGGATGAAGACACGGCGCATACAGTGAAGGCTCTTCATTTAAGTGTTTCTAACAGCGCTTCTTGGAAGTGTATGTGTGTGCTTTCCCTGCAACAACTCCCTCTGTGGCGGGCGACAGGATCCCTAAGCAGTCCAGCAAATTCTGAACAAAGTGCCGGGGAAATGGCTCCATCCCTTCCAGGAGGCTGACCGTCCCTTCGGATGCCAACCGGCTGTCACTCCGACATGAACTACACTGACATCCGGGGGCCTAACAAGCCACGACAGATTGCCCGAGACAGAAAACTTAGCTGTTAATTCTTCGTTGTTCTTCTCTAGGTGCATGTACTTAGGGGCGAGGAAAAGAGTCCTCTCAACAGATAACATTCCTTCCTACTTCTAACCGCTGATGAGAAAATAAGGAGAAAAACAGTCAAAAAAGGAGCTCCCGGGTAGCTCAGTCTGTTAGGCATCTGCCTTCGGCTCAGGTCATGATCCTGGGGTCCTGGGATCGAGCCCCGCATCAGGCTCCTTGCTAGGCAGGGAGTCTGCTTCTCCCTCTCCCTCTGTCCCTCCCCTGCTTGTGCTCTCTCTCTCTATGTCTCTCTCAAATAAATAAATAAAACCTTAAAAAAAAAAAAAAGTCAAAAGAAAAAAAAAAAAGAAACAACCCTGCAACCCCAGACACAAAGCTAATCAAAAGGAAACAATCAAAATTGTCAGACAAGAGTGGTATTTTCATGCCATAGTGGAGATGAGAGGAAACTGGAGAATGGGCCTTCCCCAGCACAGGCCAGGAGGTCCGTGCCCACGGTGTACGCACATGCACACCGCACACCACACTGTGCTCGGCGGGAATGTGGCCTGCCCTCTTTCTACTTCTTAAGCAGACTTTCTCCTTGCCAGAAATCCACACCGCAGCCTGCCTAATCCAGTTTCTCAAAAGAAACATGCCCACCAAAGCACAGCGGGTCCACCGGGCGCCCTCAGGCTCCACCTCGGGCAGTGGAGAAGATGCAGGTGAACCTCGCTACACCTGTCAACACAGCGTGCACCTGTCCTCTTGCCCCCATCCTGTCCAGACAGACCTGTCCCATCAGGGCTCTCAGATGGTAATTCCACCTCCTCAGGTAAGCAGGTGCCTGGCTCCTGATCAACCCAACCATCTGCCCCCCAACTTCCCGGGAGCCTCCACGATCTGCCCGCCACCCAGCTTTGCATCCCAGGTCCCAAGCCTGCCCACCCATCACAGTGAACGCCCCAAAGCCGTCACCCTTCACGAGACACCCTGCCCTCCCTTTCTTCTCTTGACTAACTCATGGAGGCTTGATGACCTTGGGGAATTTTTCGTGATCCCCATTCAAAGCTGGGTGAGTGCCTGAAACTTCCTATTCTCACAGCGCCTTTGCTTTTTTTTTTTTTTTTTAAGATTTTATTTATTTATTTTAGAGAGACAGAGAGACAGCACAAGCTGGGGGAGCAGCAGAGGAAGAGGGAGAAGCAGACTCCCCGCTGAGCAGAGAGCTCAATGTGGGGCTTGATCCTAGGACATCGGGACTGTGACCTGAGCCAAAGGCAGACACTTAACCACCTGAGCCACCCAGGCACCCCCTGTGCTCACTTTTAAATAAACAGCCAACATTCACGACGCACTGATGGTGTGTGCTAAGCTATAGGCATTTACCACGCGTTACTTCACCCAGGGCCCACACTAGGTCTGCAAGGGGGAGGTGGGGAAGGGACCAAAAATGGTGTGCTCGTTCAAAGATTAAGAGGACCTCTCCAAGGGAAGAATCTGGAATTCTGTATAACTGAATCAAGCCCCTTCTCAAGAAGCTCTTACCCTGTATAACCAACAGGCTCCTCCCCGCGGGGAACACATCAGCTCCAACACAGATCAGAGGCAGAATCCCTCCGCGGTACTCCATCGGGCACCCTCCGCAACATTGAGCCAATGCCTTACTGGCCACAGACCGTGGACCTGAGCTGAGGGAGGAGCGGGGACAGGAATGCCGAGGACAGCTGCCAGGCCAAGGCCCCGTGGACAGTCTCGTGAAGGGTGCGTCAGGGAGGACAGGATCTCAGGGTCTCAGGACAGCTCATCACTTGTACAGGCCCCCTTCTTCCTGCTGCAGACCCTGACCGGGCCATCAGAAATGCCGGCCAGGCTCAAAGCCATCTCTGGGCTCCACCCTCCTGGAGAAAATGTTTTTTAAAAAAGGAAAAGGCTCAAAAGGAGATGTGTAGAGCTCTCTGAAACCTAACTCAAAGTGTGAAACTCACAGGGCACGTTTAATGGAGGGAAAACAAAGCAAGAGGCGCCACCATGGGACACTATGTCAAGCACCCCCACACCAGGAGCATCCGGCAGCACTTCTCCATTCCCACCGAAGGTAGAGCAGAGCACAGAGCTTCGACCTATGAGACTTTGGCTTCATTGTGAACATCTTCCCCAAAGCAAGAAATTTTAACTAAGGAGTATGGCTGTCTGCGTCCCCATGACATGACCTCTCTTCGATCCCCAACATGCAGGGCTTCCATTCCAGTGCTCAAGCAGCGCTGGGGCTGGGGTCCAGGATTCCGCCTCACAGAAGCTGCAATGTACGTACAGACAACACAGTGTTCACGGAGGGCTCCACCGTAAGCCACAAGTCACCCGGGGGACCTATGGGCAGGCCCAGCTGGGCGGCAGGCTTGGCTACAGGATTCACACCCTGCCTCCTGTGACTCAAAGTCCCATGTCCTCCTTACAGGCATTAGATTAAAATGCACAAAAACTTACTATCTGTAAAATGGGACAATATTGGCCTTGTGAGGCTCCTGGAAGAATTCAATAAGTTAATCTTCCAACTTCTAGCCTGTGCTTATCAAAAAGCAAGCCCTCTGATTCTATTCAAGCTGAGATCACCTATTTTCAATGAGTCCAATTTAACTTCAAGATGAGAAAGAACGGGTCCCGTGTGCACCCATTCCGCCCATCCAGATCCATCCACTCCCTCACAGACTTCCACAGAGCGTCTGTCACACACAGAGCTCTGGGGCAGGCCCCGCGTGGGAGGTGAAGACAGGAGCAACAGAGCCCACGGCGGTGCGCAAAGACCACCACCAGGGCATCATCAGCCACAAATACAACGTGCCGGGCCCTATTCTAAGCACCGTGTGTGTGCATGTGTGCTCTCAAGCCACACAATGACCCTTCAAGGTAAGCAGTATTTATTATTCCAGATGAGAAACTGAGGCAGAGAGGACAAGGCACTTGTTCTAGGTCACACAGCTTCTAACAGGCAGAGTTGGGATTCGTCCCACCGCTGCGTGATTGCAGAGTCCTGTGCTCTTAACCACCCGACACACTGCCTCCCCCGACACCAGACCACAAAGAACTAGAGCAGGGACAGGCTAAGAAACAGGTCCAGCAGGAACAGAGAGCACAATGTCACGAATGGCCCGTACTGTCTTTACCCGTAACAGAGAGCACGCGCCCTTTAACTAGAGAACGACACGTTCAGGCACACGGTCCCAGCCCAGACTGAACATGGTGCACAGCACCTCGGTGCACACGCACTGAAGGGAAAGGGGTGGGCTAGGCACCTGGGTGTCCATCACTAGTCCTCCCGTCAACAACCTGCTTGACCTCTCTGCGGCACTGTCCTCCCTGTAGGGATTTAATGAGATGCCCCACGTACAGAGCTTACTTCCAGTACCTGCCACTGAAGACTGTCAAGTCAATCAATCAATCAGTCAATCCATCAAACTGCAAACTGCATCGAGACTCAGT